AAAACTTTTAACTTCATCTCTCTAATGAGTGTATAATTCAATCTTGTTATTGTACTGATTAGTATTTTTCTGATTCTAGTGTTGCACACCTTTCCCTGTGCTGTCCTGGCTATTTATCATCTTCTTGTGTCTACTTTTTAATTGGGTTGTCTATTAATGAATGAGCTGTAAGAGTTCTTTATATATTCTGGTCATAGGTTATATGTATTATAAATATAGTCTGTTTAAGGACTACTTTTCATTTTCTTAACAATGTCATCTAAAGTTCTAAATTTTGATGGAATCTCCTTCATCAATTTTTTTCTTTTATACATCATGTTTTCTATATCCTAGAAAGTTCTTGCCTACCCTAAATTCATGAACATTTTTCCTTATAATTTCTTCTTAAGGTTTTATAGTTTTAGTCTTTCAAATTTAGGTTCACAGATCCCTTCAAGTTATTTTCATGTATGGAAATAGAGGGTTGAGGTTAATTTTTTACACACAGACAAAAAGAAAAGAAAGGGGAGGAAGAGATGGAGGGAGGGGGACAGGGAGGGAGGGGAGGAAGAAAGAATTAAGCTGGGTTCCATCTGGGCACCAACTCCCCACGAGGAATGTAATCACTATGCAGGGGAAAGGAAAGAAGGTAAAAGAAAAAACATGAGAAAAGGAATGTAATCACTATGCATGGCAAATATGCACTAAAGAAATGCAAAACAGAAAATAAGGGGAGGGGCTCACATCTGAAATGAGCTTGGTGCACTGAAATCCCATACACAGAAGAGCATAAATATCAGGTGGGTCCAGGTCCAGGGCATCCGCAGCCCCTGTCTAGCAGGGTCCACATTACAGCTGGTGAGGGTCAGCTGGGACTTGAGATCTCCTACGGTGTGGCTGGAAAATGCAGCAACCCCTTCTCCCAACACCTTATAGACCATAAAAGAACAGGAGTATGTATGGCCTCACACTTGCACCACACACAAGGGTGTGCTCACACATATATCCATGTGCACAAAGCTGCCACTTAGGCAAATCCACACCTACTTTGCAAAACCTCCTAGGCTTCTGGAAGCTGCAGATCCAATTTATACGAGGGTGGACATGGATCCAAAAAGGGATGGCAGTCCTGAAGGCCACGAGGAGCTCAGAATGCCTGGTGTTTTATGAGGTTTTTTCTGTTTCTACTTTTTAAATTAACACTATTGATGTGTAATTTATAAAACAAAATGAGCCCATTTTAGGTACATTTCCATGACTACTGATGAGGGTATCAGCTGTGTGACCGCTGCTCCAGGAAGGTATGGGGCACCCCCAGGCCCTGCGTGCTTGCCAGTGCCCACTCACCCTGGCATGGTGTGGTGCCACCTCCTCCCCATGGATGGCAGGTCTGTCTGAGACTCGCTCAGGATTTTGTGCACACCATCTTCCGAGATTCAGCCAAGCTGCTGCATGAACCAGGCCCCTATTTCCTTCTGCCTTCCAAGCAGCATTGGGCTGCAAGGATGTACCAGTTAAGCCACTCACCTGCTGGTAAGCATACAGGCTGCTTCCAGCTGGGGGCTATTATGAATAAAGGTTATTATTGATGTCTTGTGTAAGATTTTTGGAAACATGCATTTTGATTTCTCATGGTCAATTACAACCATACCTCAGTTTCCAAACACTTTTGTTTGCAAACACTTTGGTTCACAAACTGAAGTGTTTGGCAAAATTTTGTTTCTGTTTGTGAACTCTGCATCAGGTGGCAAACACAGTCGCAGCCAGTGGTAGCGAACCTATAGCACACATGCCGCAGCAGGCTGTTTGTTATCACTGAAAGCTCTAAAAGGTTCACCAACACTGACTGCAGCCATCTTTCCTGCAGGAAAATGAATGTGGCCAACAGTTCCAGAATTGTAGAACAAATTAAGTTCGTGAACCAAGGTATCACTGTACCTAGGAGTGCAGTTAATGGATCAAAATGCAGGGTGATGTTTCATTTTCTAAGAAACTGCCAGATTCCATTTCAAAGAGCAACACTATGAGAAGTCCTAATTCTCCTCCAACACTTAGCAATGAGACTCTTTTAAATGCTAGTCATTCTGCTGGGTGTGGTTTTGATCCATTCCACTAATGATTAATGACAGGAATGTCTTCACATGGCCAATGCATCTCTTCTTGGGTGAAGTATCTATCCCAGCCTTCAGCCCACCTTTAGACACAGTGTCTGTCTTCTCACTGGGTTGTTGGGCTCAGCATACATTCTAAATACAAGGCTCTCTTTAAAATATACATATTTTATGATGATATCCTCCCAGTCCGTAACTTCCTTTTCATACTTTAAACACTCAAGTTTTAAATTTTCCTGAAGTCCAGTGTTTCCTGTGTCCTGCATAAGAAAGATTTTCTCCCTATTTCGTCCCACAGGTTTTCAAACTCTTCCTTTCTTCAGGACAGGTCTAGACTGGGAAGAACTACACAATACCACCATCCCACTGAGCACAGTGTCAGAGAGGCTTGGGGGTAGAGAGGGACCCAATGCAGGCATAACAACCCAGCCTGGAACTTTTCTCTGCTTTTATGAACTGAAATAAATGTGGACAGTCTGGAGCTGAGGCAGGCATGATGTAACCACGAGGCAGAACCATGAGCTGCAAGTCCACCAAGAAAAACAGAGCTGGGCTGGGGATGTAGCTCAGCGGTGCTGCCCCTGCCTGGCAAGCACAATGCCCTGAGTTTGATTCCTGATACAAAAAAAATTAAGAAAAGCAGAGCTCAGTGTTGCCAGGCCTTGACAATAAAGACACAGCTAGAATCCAGCTAGGTCTTCAGTTATACAATGATATGCCTCTTAGTTTCCCTAGGGCATTCCCATCAGCAGCCACTGTATATGACAAACACAAGAACCGAAGTGCAGTCGTGT